GGATGTTCTTCCCCAAATCCCTCAATTTCCATTTCCATTTCTCCTTTCCTGCCCCTCCCTCTCTCCATCACACAAAAAAGCAGTCACAGTGTCAATATACAGCTGCTGGTATGTGGCAATTTCCACCCTCTGCCAAGCTATTCCACACATATAATTCTGAGGTGAAAATACTTTCCTAAGATTTCACTTCTATTCAATCTTTGCACATGACCCTCAAGCATAATAGTTCTTCTCGTGACATTATTTCCACATAACTCATTGTGAGTCACACGCAAAAGAACCCGCTGCTTGACCACAAATAAATGCATGTTTCTTTACTAGAAATGACTGATAATGAGATCTGAGAATGTAAAACTGCAGCTTAGCTGATTGCATACTGAAAACATTTTTCATTTAGTACCATACAAGCGTAGTAGGGTAAGTGGATCTGTAAGATATGGAGAAAATAACACCTTAACTTTTCTGAGGTAGTGGTCTCCTGATTATTTATTGAAGACAAGAAAAAGCCTGACCTCAACCAGATTTAATAAAACTAAAGAAATCTTCTTTGTTGCTCCTTGTGGAGGCGAATAAGGGAGGGAGACAAGAAACAAAAATTTCTAATAACATTAATTAGACTACTGTGTTGAGCATGCTTTAATCTGCTTCAGTTCTAGAAGCCAAATAAGGTAAAAGCTCTAACCAGTGAAAAATGGAGTAAGTAGTCCAATTTCCAAAGCATATTAGCTCCTAGTCAGGGATAGAGAGCAAGTGAGATGAGATTTGAGTGCTTTACCCTGAACTTTTGGTTAGATTTTAAACTCTCAGTGTGATAACATTCCTCTGGCTCTGGACACAGTCACCATTCCTTTCTCATTTACAGGTGGAGAATCTCTTATGATGCAGCCAGAACACGCCAAGGGGAGACCTAACAGCTATAGAAACAGCAGACTGAGAACCAGCAGATTGATTAACAGCATTAAGTCCCCTTGTACAAGCTCACACAGAAGCAATATTCCAGCACTGGTCCTTCCCAGACTGAAGAATTTTAACTGTTGATCTCCAAGTTGCAGAAGCTGTAGTGAAGCCTGTGGTGCAATACACAGACTTCTTATGATTTGCTGCTCAGCTCTAGCTCTCTAGAATTTACTATCAGTTGCAGAAAAACTTTCGGAAATAGGCTGACCTGCCACAAGTGACTTATTCATGTCCATCTGGAAAAATACACAGCCAAAGTTCCAACAAGACTTAGATGGAAGCAAATGGTCAGCTCCTAGAGACACCTCTGAATAAGCAGCACTTAAACATCCTCCTGGCAGAAGGTACCTGTAGCCAGCACACAGTTGCAACATCCACTGAATGGACCATTTAGAGGCTCAGCTGAAAACAGGCAACCAAAGTTGTCTAAAATCTAGTCACTGGGATTTGTTGTAAGAAACACAGAAATATTAGTTACTTGTGAAGCTTTATGGAGTATGAATTCAGAAGGATTTCTCAAGATGAAACACTTCGAAACACTTACAGCTTCTACATGCCCCTGGGGAGGGTGAAGAACAGTTGGGACCAGTAATCCAAGGTGCTCTCACACCTCGAGAAGGTCTCTGATGCAGAGGAGTGGAAATACTGACTTGCTTAGATTTTACGTAAGCCCAGAGAAACACTAACTCTTTCACAACTCTTCAGAAAAGCTTGAACAAAAGAGAGTGACATAGAGTAACATGGACTGGTGTAACTGACTGGTTCCCCCCCACTTTCTTACAGGACAAACAGTCTTGAAGTTGGATGTCCTTAAGCAAAGCCAACTAACTACATAAATAACCCTCAGAAAGGCTAGAAAAGCAAAGGTGCTATTCAGGCTGAACCAAAAACGCAGCACTCCTTCAGAGCGGGTGAGGCTCCTTATATAAAGCTCTGAAACTAGGCAAATAGGATTCATGTTTGGTTTGTAGCTTCCAGGCATAGAGTTGTTGTTAAACAAATACAGACACCAAGCTCAAGAAGCACTACCACAAAGCTGTTACATTATTTGTTCTCCTGAATTATGCATTACCTTTGCTTGGTATGCAATTTTTCTAATGCTAGTACACCACAAAGCTCCAAATTCCAGCATGTCTATATGCCATATGGACAAGCTTCTCCAACCGTCTGCTCCTCATGGAAATTCTATTTGTTTTCCTATTGATTTTATTATGTTTAACAGCATACTAAATCATTCCTGAGGTTGACAAGTTTCTGGAAAATTGATATATGCTGTCTAAAACTGCCTGAGGCAGGAATAAAACCAAAACAAATGGCTTCTTTTAAGCTCTTGATTTGCATTACCACAGCCAGGAATACAAGTGCCATCTTGTTTGGTAATTCTTCTCTTTTGTGTAACTTCTAAAGCACAGGAAATATTTAGAAGCTCTCCTTATGGGTCTGCATATTGGAGGAAGGTGATTGCAAAACACCAGACTATTTGAGTGAGGGTGGGACTAAAAAAGTAGATCGTCAGCTAAAATCAATGGGCTGGATTCTCTTGTGAAAAGCTGGAACAGTGAGTAGATGTACCTTGGAATCTGCAGCTTAAGGCAAAAGTGAAATTTTTAGCAACACTTAAAGACTTGCATTTAATTCTTCTCCTTAGAAACTGTACTTTGAAGCATTTAAGAGTTTACATTTACAGAACTGCAAACCTTTAAGATTCATAAACTCAGCATTTTAGTGTGATTAGAAAAATTCAGAGAGATGACATTTTCCAATAGTCCCTGTGATGCCACAGAATAAGCTTCTGAATTCCATCAGTGAGAAACCAGACTAGTTCTTGAGTACATAAGCTGTTTTGTAGGACAGTCCTTTGAGTAAAAGCCTCCTATGAATTAACAGTGAGAAAAAAGCCTCACAGACGTCTTTCATTTAGAGAATTTTATGATCATCCAAGAGATAGACACAAAAATGCAGAAGATGCTACAGTCCTCATAATATTAAAGATTAAAAAAAAAAAATTGGGGTAACAAACAAAATAGTACAAAAAGAGAAAATACCCATCTTAGTCATTGAAATAAACTTCAGGAGAAGATCAAGTTTATTTCCTTCTTAGCAAAGTCCAAGCAAATTCAATTTATTAGTTAAGCGCTTAGACACTGTGAAGATCATATATGAAGCTCAGCAGAAGTGAGATAATTCTACTGATGGATATAGCAGAAAATACTGCAGCATTATCAGTGAAAGCATCACTTGCAGACAAAAAAAACCCCTCAGCTTATTTGCTTTGCATCTGTGTTTTCAAATACAGTAACATGGTATCACAGTTTCTAATTTCATACCAACAAAACCTCCTTTGCAGAAGTACTACAGGAAAATTTCAAAAGGTCTGAGAAACATGATTCCAAGCTGTGCTGACATTCATATCATGAAGAATGATCTCTTTTGATGCGGTAGACAAATGCAGTGAAGCTAGTAAGATCTGTCTCCTTTTTTCCACCTGCTAAATGATTCCATAACCTCGAAAGTACACTGTCTACAGCTGGTTGCCCAATTTGAAAATTAAAGTACAGAGCTGGGAGATTAAATGATGCTGACCTTTTCCTAACTAATACGTGTCAGAAGCTATTTGGACATTTGTAGTTAGAAATCTTGTCAAAGATGTTCGAAACTTGCAAGAGGTGTTGTCTATGCTCATCTGTTAAAAACGGGAGTTCCTGCCAAATTACAGGTGAGTTTGATGACTTCAAAGGAATAAGCGTTCAATACACCAAAAAATCCCTGGAAAGGCCTCATACACCTGCTACTGCTGGAGGCTCTTTTGCCACTATCCCACTGCCTGTCCTTGTAAACTAGGCCAAATTGGTAAACCCTTTGAAGGACCACCAAAACAAAAAGTCTTTAGGTGGAAGAAAAACCTCATGTGCTAGGCACTCCTAATAGTAAACAATGAGCATTCTTAAGATAGATGTCTAGAAAAGCTTTGCAAGCATCTATAGACAGCAGAAGATCTTTTATGGAGAACCATGTCTTCACAAGCATAGCATGTGAAGAGAAGTGTTGAAAAATTTTTCTCTACTCAAAGTAGGCAGAAAAACACCTTTGTATCAAAAACGGGGGGGGAAAAGTCAAGTTAAAGGAGTCAAGACAGACTAGAACCATTTTTATTAAATCAGGAATAACATCAGGCCATGGGCTGTAGTCTGGTATTAAAGCTCAGGAAGTGCATACCATTCAGAAGGTCAGACAAGTGCATCCTCACAAGCTGCATCCTTCAGCTAAAGTGTTACTGATTGAGCACATGTTGGAAAGAAAGAGAACTACGACTGTTAAATCACTTGTAGAAAGAATACACCGAGAAAAGACAGCCAGAAATGTTTTTATTTTGCACAAGTATAGAACAACATAAACGTCTTTTGACACCTCTGAGCGAAGTTCCTTAATCTCCAAGGTACATTCAACTGTGTTAATCAACTACAACTGAACAAGCAATAATGTCAGGTAAACAGACCAAATAATGTTGCTCAAATAAATTAAAGCCAAGTATTTCTGAACCATCAATAGTATTATTAAACAGTCCTTTTTCAGCCTACCTTTGAAGCCACGTCATCACCGACTAACTTAAAAAGACCACTTTTTTCTACAACTAGGTACCCTCTTTTAGACTCTGGACCAGCAAACAGGCAAATCGAATTTCTGTTTTATGAGTGGGAGCAGTAGATGCACCTACTAGTGCAGTACTGCCTAAAGATTGAGACAGCAAATCTTGCAGAGACAGATGAGAGATCTGACAGTCCACTGGAATTTCATTTGCCCTGCAGACAAAAAAACAAGGTTGCTTGGAGGTACTCCAGTAAACTGTTCCAACAATTATTAACAGAAAGGACTTAAGAAACATGGAAAAAAAAAAAGTTAAATAATAATAAAAAAAAAAGCAGCAAGGCTGAAGGTTTCAAAATTGGTTCATTTTCAACACTCTAATTAAATGCCTGAATCTCCAGAACTTTGCTGACACTACTTCTACTTAACATTTAAAATGAAGGCTCAATCATAAAAAACCTTCTCATAGAACACGAATAAGATCCAACGTTATCCTCAATCGAGGAATGTCAACATTAAGCACTTTAACTTCCACTCTTTCTCCAGGACCTAAGCCCAGGCTTCTTCTCTTCTTCACTTTAGAAAGTTTTGCTTCTGTTATGTTTCGCACTGGAATCAAACCCGCTTTTCCCACACCAATATCAACAAAAACTCCAAATGGCGTGGCATTTTCAACTTTTCCAGTCAGAATAGTACCAACACTTAAATCTTCAAAGCAGACTATGCTTCTCTTGAAGTCAGGTTTATCAAAGTCTGGTAAAAGAAACAAGAAACAAAAATAAGACACTGGAGAAAAAGTTCACGTTATTTTCTAGTGTTGTTTCCTGATGATTATTTCTAATTAAAAAGTCATCCCAAAGCAGTTCAATGGTCCCAAACCGTGCTTTATTATAATAAACAACTGATTTCTGGCATTTTATGAATCACTTTATAAAACTATGGTTAATGGAGTAATAAGTATAGTGAACTCCATTACATAAAACAACCACAAAGGGACCAGAAGCATGTAAAATATAATTTAGTGACTGAAAGATTCTTTAAATTTTCTTAAAGCCTTGAAGTAACTCTTACTTGAGCTACACAAATTATAAAATTCTATTCCAATACAAAGTTGTACACAGGAAGGTGAATATTCAGTCTTATCACACATTAAAGAGAGAAATCCACACGGCACTGTTCTTAGGCTCGCTGTGCGTCTGCAGCATGACATCCAACAATCAAGTGCTTCCCATGACATCACACAAGCAACTGCTGCTTTGCAGGGACAACTTGAAAAATCAAATGATTATATGCAGGTAATAGCCCAACACATTAAAGTTCATGTTCTGCATTTAAAGGCACAGACAGACCTTTTAAATTCTTGTTACTTGCCTAACACTTTCTACTTCCGCAGAAAACCCTTCTAAGCCATCTCAACCTATCAACCTTTTCCTACTGCTGTTTTATCTTTTCCAAAATACAATAGGACCGGGATTTTCCAAAGAGAGCATCATCAAACCAGAATTCCAACCTTTTTCCTCTATTTGTCTTTAGTTTTATACCTTCATATGGCAGCAGTCTATCGTACTGTAATTCAGATGTGAGAGCAACAGAACAAACAAAGACATAGAAGATACACATGTTCTAGATCACTAGTGGGAAATATTGATAAAATCTACAAGAAAACTACTGATGAACCCTCACAAAAAACAGGGACAGAAATGTTATTTTCTTAAAACATAAGTTTATATTCTTTGTTATTACAAGCCTGCATCTTTGCTGCCTACCTTTATCTCTTGCTGTCCTAAGAGAATCCAGATGTAAGTTTCATTAAACAGCAGCATCTCCAGATGTTTTACCTTGTTGCTTACCTCATCTGTCTTCCCCTCCATCTCAAAACTGCTCAGCACTACTGAAACGTTTTAACCAAGGCAGGGCATGAGCCATGTGCTCCAATTACACTTGTCTCCAGGAACTAGTGCAGTAAAAGATCCAAACTACACACTACTACACTGCTGCTCCACAGACCTTTATTACTACTGTTTCAGCTTGGTTTCAGCATTCCTCTTTGTGATGGAGAGCCAACAGATTTAATCAGCATAGAGTCAACATATTGAAACTATTTCATTTGTTAACAGCCATACAACTCCCCTTCCTATGGCTAAAAATGCCATGATTTAAGACAGGATTCTTTTTTCCTACTGAGCTGGAAAAAACATCTGACTCTGATACAGCCTTTATCCTGCCCGAGAAAGAAATGGAGTTACATGTCCGTGAAGTTTAGAAGAAGAAAACGTGCTGTTTTAAAATTGTTATGTAGAACAATCAAACTGAGATTACAGCCTTCAAAATAAAGGTTTACCTGTTCGGATGTCAAAACTTTCAGGCTGAGTCAGACCATCAATGATCAGCTGCAGTGTGTGCACTGTCGTATTCAGCCTTTTGGCTGTGCCTTCCAGTCCTTCCTTTTGAATTACTGCATTTACTTTCTGCTGCATATCCGATTTTCCTATGTCATTTGCGTTTCCTCCAATAAAAGTTAAAAACCTGGGAAATTCAAATGAAGATACAGACAGAGATTTGTAACATCCTTTAGTGGGAGATGAACCTTTGCAGTATTTAGGGTTTTTAATTACTTTTGCATTGATGTGTGAGCAAAACTTCTGATAAAAAAAAAAAAGAACAGCCAACAGTTTTCCAAGTGCATATCCTCTCAACTCATCACTGATCAGAGACATATATGGAAACTCAGAGTCTCTATGTACACAGGTATCTTCCCAAATAGATTACAAAAATAGAAGCAAAATTTCAAAATGTATATCACTTAGACCAATGATTTCCTCTCATGCTAAAAGTGAATCTGATTACGATTGAAAGATGTCTTTCACCATGAAAATGTGCTAGAAATAAGTGACGGTTCTATAATGCCGTCATTTTATTGTCACACTCATTCGAATTAAAATTAATGGCAATTTAGTAAAACAATGAACAAAGTGATATGAAGAAACTTTAACCAAATTTAAGAAAAAAATTACATACTTGTCTGTGGTTGCCATGATTAAGAACAATTAGTTTTTCAGAAACTAGGAAATTATCAAGTCTAAGTAGTTACACAACACAAACACCTTTATGCTTCCCTATTGTCACATACATATACACATAGCAGAATGAGAGAAATTTGGACTGACATCTAAAAAGGCTGAAAATAAATACTTTAAAATAATTATGTCTTGATCTGTGATCTATTTTTTAAAAATAAAAAACATAAACAACACTTACTGAGGTTTTTAGTTCAGCAATGTTGGCACATACACTGACAAGTGCAAAGAATAGATGACAAAAATCCACATGCAGACCCTACTCATTATCAGCAGTGATGCCTTAGACAATATTTGTCACTTAATAAATGTCCTTATTTTACTGAAGGACTTAAAAATACAAAACCAAGTCTTTAAAGAATATAAACCAATGAAAATGAGCATGCAGCTCATAGAAGCTGAGCCAGATTGTACTAAATAAAGTTTTCTCAGTAGACACTTCAGTTTTGTGTCCTTCTGCCCTGCCATACATTTCACTATGAATAAGCCTTTTCTACTCTGCTTTATCGTGTCCCTTCTTGCTGGAGGGAGGAATGTTCTGCACCACAGCAGATAGGCAGAATTATTGCCCCTGTCCCCCAGAGTCTGAGTAAACATTCCTTCCAAATTCCTAAAAGAGATCTCTTCTTCCTATCCTTATGCTACTTCAAGACAGGTGTAAACTTCAAGCCACAAGAGAAGTGCTCACCAGCAGGTTCAAGCCCTGCACTTGGGAGTGGTGGGATACATCTCAGCTCCATAAAAAAGCAAAAGCCCCTGATACTCCCTACTCTAAAATACATGTTGTGCTTCTATCAAAACTTGAGCCCAGTATTGCTTTTCGAAGGAGACACAGTGGGGTTTTTTTTGCCGATTTCTTTTTTTTTAGCTTGAGGAACCCAAGTGATGTTGTTTCAGGTGGTGATAAAAAGTTATAAGCAATGAAATACAAAATTAAATTTCATTTTGAAAAAATATAAATTGAAGGAACATAATTAAAGCAATATCCAGCATTTGGTAAATCACAGTATTGATCTTTGAGCACAATCTTCACAAAATCTTCACTCCAAAATGTCCCATAATTTCCAAAAGGAGGACATCTGTTAAAATTGGGGGTTGGGACTTCCGCTTTTTTACTGAATTCAAATGCAAGTATGGTGGTACTGTTAGCTCAAATACATAAATTTGCACTTAATCGTGATAGATATACTTTTGATTTTAATTTTCTTAAACATACAGAACTTTCATGTGGCAATGCAGGCAGAAAAAAAAATTAATATAGCTTCAGTGGATGATACTGTTCTTGGGATTTATTGAATTTTGATTTGATTGACTGCATTTCAACTTTTGACATCACTTTTTCAAGTAGTTTGAGGCGGTTTGGAAACAAAGAAAATATGAAAACAGACACAAAACTTTTTATAATATCAAATATAAGCTTTTACTTTCTGTAAACTAACAAGAAAATGCTAGTAACTCTTCACATATTTTGTCTAGTAAATATCTATGTAGGAAAAATATCAGGCCTTCTACAAAGCCATCCCGTTGGTCTCAAAAGAGCACCAAAAATGGTTGCAAAGATAACGCCGAGAAGGCGCGAGGGTGCAGCGAAGCGCTTCTCACACAGCTCCTTGGGGCTGCCGGCGCTGATGGATGGACGATGCCCCAGCAGAGCCCCCGTGACGGGCGGCAGCTGCCCCCACTTTGACTGACGTGCCAGATGTACCACGACAAACCCGACCAGCCTCATGACTCAACCTTCTCAATCATGTATGCTTTATCACTCGCCCCTATAAACAAGTTTGCTGACATTCACATATTTGGCTTTATTTCACTTCAAATGGAAATTCAGCTTGAGTACCTCCGAGTAACATTATCTCACCATGAGGATATCACAGAAGCGCACTCGTTCCGTAAACAGATGACAGGGTGGGTTTCGCTGCTAATAAGTGCAACCACACAAAACAGGCACCGATGTATAAAAAAAATACCCCATTAAGTACAAAACGGTCCAATGTGTGGATAATGCAATCAGAATGCATGGTGCTACGTGCAGGCTGCTGGGAAGAAAATCAGTTCGAAACAGAACACAACCCAGGTGCCTGAGCCCTCGACTAGTATTCATGAAAGTTATTTCACCCCCTGCTCCTTCTGCCTCTCCCCATCCTCCAGAAATCCTAGTCAAAGTATTTAGCTGGTAGTAAAAAAGGAGTCCTCACCTAGGCAAGGGTGGTATGTTTGGGCTCTCTGTTATCAACTACAGTTGTTTAAATAACATGGTTACTGCTCAGAATAAAATTTTTAGTCCATCTGAAGATGATGCTTCCACACATGCCCAAGTTAAGCACATGAGAAGTTCCACCAACCTAAGCAGAATTACTAATGTTCTAAAAATCAGGCATTTGGTTAAGAGTATTTCAGAATTATGAGCTATGTTATAGGCAGAACAGAGCATTGTAACAAAGTCCAGGATGCACATACACACAAAAGAAATAGTCTTTTAACAGAAACAATGCATTTCTGCAAGGCAATTCTTATAGGTTTTGGCAGAACCTATGCATTAAAATATTTCCAAATAAAAGCAATTTCTTAGTGATTACAGATGTAGTTTTTGAAAATATGGTTGAATCTAGTTAGACATTAAATGTCTCATTTTCACTCAAATGAACGTAACCTAAGGGCACTTAGAATAAAAAAAATCAATGGAGAGCACAAATCTCTGACTGAACAGTGGCACATTACATTGATCATTTCTATTTTTAAACGTCATTGCCAAGAACAAAGTTAAATGTTTCCTTATTAGAAAAAGCAACCCAACAACTTCCTCTGAGAGTTATTTCAAGGTCAGAAAAAAACAATATAGTCTGTAATAAGACTGGGATATGGCTATGGGGGGAGGAAAAAGAGTCTTCCCTTAATTTACACATTTCAATCTTCTTAACGTTAAACTATCTCACTACAATCTTTGCAATATGTCACCCAATCCGTAAATGACAGTTCCAGCTGCATGACATAAGAACATGAGTGACCTGTGCAAAAATGAAAGCTTCTCTAGTCTTTTCCTGGCTACATATGCGAACGAACTCACTAACATGTTGCAAAAGTTCAAGTGATACGTTTATCCATTAGAAAGATAAAACCTAAAGAAAAGTTAACAGAAACGGAAATGGAAAAGATGAGATGTTCTTGTCTGAAGTGAGGTCATGCTTATAAGATATACTATCCTTATTTCCTCAAACACTGAGTGTCTGAGTGAATGGAGAACTTTCTGTTTCAGGCACATCAATTGAGATAAAACCTTCCAGAGGCTTAGGAGAGTCAGAAAAGCGTAAAATTTAGCTGGTTTAGAGACTTCAAATTTCACCGTTTTGAGATTTAGAGGATACTCAGAAACCTCTGCAACCACCTTAGTTTTAAAAGCAACCTTTGCAGTCCTACAGAACCTGCAGAGAATGGTCATGGCTAAATCACTGATGTTTTTATTTAATACATAATTTCATCCATCTTACCCAGATAAAATAAGAAAGTAGCATAAATGTAACAAATAAGCACATCATGTTCACTTAACATACACATCTGCACAAAATTATAGCACAGCCCTTGCAATACTTAGAAGATAATGCAAATTTCAGTGGAATGCAAAAAACAGTCAGAAAATAGTAAAAATACTACCAAGGGAAGCCTTCAGTAGATTTTGAAGAAGGTACTTTAAATGCCCCCAAAGCTTCGTACACTGTGTAGTTCTAAAGCTTTGCAAGGGCTTTAGTCACAGTGATTTCTGTTTTATGTAATCATTTCCAGCAACACGACTTAAGAGCTGGGAGTACTGGATTCATTACATTAAAGCAACATGATACGCCATTACATCTTGTCACACTGCACACATGAATTAATGGTAATGCAACATAATCACTCTGAAAACAAAACAACTTTGCATTAGCATGTGCTTTGTTGGGTAAAATGTACATTCATGACAGTAGCAAACAAATTATGCAGACATTTACATTTTAGTAATGTTTTGAAACACAAAAGCATTATTTGCATAATGCAGATGTTGACTGTTCTTGTTCTCACTAGTGATAAGGATCCTCAATTTTTGATTCCTGATGCAGATTATATATCAGACAATATTTGTGTTTTACTCTCTGTAAATAGTTGCTTGGCATGGAAAGTTAAAGTTTCAAATGTATTTAAAACTACTTATGTGTTTTAGTCAAATGATGACATTTAACCAATACGTTTTTCCTCAAATTAATAAACTACTAATATTGCAGATTTTCTGACTGCATGCAGAAGACCAGAGAAAGCACTCAGATAGTTTATGATATTTTGATGTATAAATCTAAGAAAGAATGAGTTTCTAAAGGAGAAAGAAATTCAGCCATGGTTGCACCATGGCTGCATAGCCACTTGACCACCATCCCATTAAGCATGCTGCTGCTAGCTGTTTTCATGACTTCCGATATATCA